GGATTCACGCCGTACACGTGTGCACAACACACGCACGTACCTACTACACACAGTCCCACACGCAAGCACGCGCGGCACCCACACACGCACTCCTACACGCGCACACACACAGAGTGAGAGTGAGTGAGTGAGTGAGAGAAAGAGCATGTGTGTGTGTGTGTGAGTTTGCGAGTGAGAGAGAGAGAGAGAGAATGACAGAGACAGGGAGACAGAGAGTTTGTGGGTGGTGTGTGTGTGGTGTGTGTGTGTGTGTGTGTTGTGGTGTGTGTGTGTGTGTGTTGTGTTTATGCGTGCGCCGCGCGCGGTGTGTGCGCAGTGTGTGCGCACGTATGGACGTGCGTGCGTGCGTATGCTTGTGTGATGTGCATGTGCGTGTGAGTACTTGCCGTGTGTGCGTAGGTAGAAACGTGCGTGCGTGAACCGAGCGTGTTTGTGTGGCGTGCGCGTGCTGCGGGTGTTCGCGGCGTGTTTTATGTGGAGCAACACATAATAGTCGTAAGACAATAACAGAATACTAACAGATATAACAGCGGTTATATATTTATCTTCACTAGCCAGCTCTATCCGCAAAGCCGTTTTCTACGCAACAGCATGCAGCGGATCTAAACTCTGGCAGGACGAACCACAGTTGCTGAGCGAAGGTAATAGGCATAACGCGAATCCAAAGCGTGATGCTACGAGAAAAGTCCAGTGAATTCCTTCTATATAAAGGGACTCTAAGCGTTCGGAAACGCGAGGAAGGGAAAGTGGCGCCATCTATTAGCCATCGTGGCCTTACCTTCCCCTCGCTGTGAAGAAGCACGAAGCTCCGTCTCTGAAGCAGCGATAACGGTCTTCAGCATGTTTCATAGAAAAATTCAAAAAATTCATAATAATTTTCTGACAAACATCTACACCTTTCCAACTCTTTGTCGTTTGAACAAAGTCTGATTGTCGTTTATCGACTGCGATGTGTAACAATCACACGTACTATCACAATTACATCATTTACCGTAGGTTGATTAAATAATCAATTGATTAATCAATTAATCACCAGAACACGAAGTGTTTGTATTATCATGATCATAATTGATCTTATCTGTGTATTCTCGATAGTTATCTTATAGATAGATATCGAACATGGTGTCCGTTTTTACAATCGCTGGATGTATTAAGATTGTCTTTGTTCTGGCCTACTGTATAAGCTGTATATTTCCGCGTTTATTTTCTCGGAATTTCGCGAACGCGTCACCGACGCGAAAACAACAACACGCGAATAATTCATCGCGAATGAAATTCATAATTCACCGACCCGAAAATTAACCCACTCGCGAAGTCTGAATCTTGGCGAAACCATCCTGTAGCCGCCGACAAAATACTGGCGTATACACGCATTTCAAACATTCTCGACGTTGCTCGTGTTGTATAAGCAGGCAGCGAAGAAAAGAGTGCGACAGTCCATGACAAAGCCGAAACGCCTCGAGGAAGCGGATAGCAGATCTCTCACGGTCAGTCGAGCGTGACGCAAGAGCATGGACAGGAAAACAATCTACTACATCGACGGCGCCAGAGACGACCGCCAGCTGGATGCGGCTTGGCAGCAGCACAGAACGCTATCCTGTCAGGTTCCGTAAATGTAGTCTGATGGTATTATGTTTTTCTACCACCCAGGTGTCAGTAGGTAATACCACCAACGGCCATAATAATGTAATTGACACAGCAGAATGAATACTGTTAACTTAGTCTACAAACCATCTGCTTAATCCTATTCACCATAACCATCACTCAAGATGCGGTGTTCAAGCACACGCGAAAGCTCGCGTGCGCTTGCCTTCTGAGACGACACCGGCGGCGGTCGAGCGCTTCGCGAGTCGCGCGGAGAGTTACTTTTCACAGATGGCGATGGGCAATCTGGTGAAACGCGGAATGCTAACACTCCTGACTTCAATTTTTCTCTGTTCAACTTCATTCATTTTTCAATCATTCATTCCGTTCCTGAATCTCATTCATATCATACATTGTCTGCTAATTCGTTTAAACAGATTAGTTTCCGAAGACATTAAAATTTGCAATTACATCTGCGAGCAGCCGCCATTTTGGATATAAGCGAGCGCTCGGTGGCAATAGCTGCGGTGCGTCAAGTGACGCTGCATTCGTGCTGCGCATCGTTTTCCGCGCTGCTTGATACACAACCCTACACGAACTACTGTCACACTCACACCTCCCCTCCTATCGCCCATGGTTGCATCACAAGCACGTCAAAACGCCGTATGTCACTCGAGCCAACTGCCGCGTGCCTGTGTCCATGGTCACCCTCAACGCGTCAGCTACCAAGTAGCCAGCACAGCGAATGTGGCAAAGGCGCAGTGAGTACGTACGTGACGTATTCGCTTTGGCGTTTGTGTATAAGTTTGATTTTGTTGATGTTACATATACATTCTAGTGCACTACCGTATGAAGCACTCCTACACGGCAGAAATGTTTATTTTCATTAAAGCAAGGGGAAATGTTACTGAAAGCATATGACCACCAGATGGTCGCGTCGCGAACCAAACGTGTGTGTCCGCCGGTTGTATGCAACGCCATGGTGTGGAAGCATTCCAGTTTATCAAAAAAAGATATCTGCGTTGACAATGCACTGTTTGAGCATCAAACAATAACATGGCTTATTCCGCTACCTAGCTGCGGTACGCCGCTTGCGCTGAGTAAAATCTGCTAACTAATCTCATACGCCGCTACTCTCATAGGTCTATGTCCCCCCAGGGTACTGCCGAACGTACCCTGGGTACGGTGCCGGTCATACCGGAACGTACCTGGTATCTATCTTAGCCTGAATGGTTAGGGATATGTTAGGTTAGGGTTAAGGGTGCTAGAGTTAGGGTTGGGGTTAGGTTAGGGAGTAGGCGTATAGCGACTCGCTGAAGACTCGTTAGTTGGATGTACGGCGAGGTACGGTCCGGCATATTAGATAGTAGTATTTAGTGCCAGGGTACGTTCCGGTATACCGGACCGTACCCAGGGTACGTTCCGGCAGTACCCTGTGGGACATAGACCACATCAGCACTACGCATAATGGGACACAATAGGAACGTTGGGTAAAAATCGACAATAACATTGCACACAATATCAATATTTAGAAATTAGTCTAATAAGATAATAAGCATGGGAAAAACTGTTACGTATGACATTTATATGACAGCACAACCCAACTTAGAACCCCTGGGACATGAGAGTAATATGGTGTAAATGACAAAAAGTTATTATTATATAACAGCATGTACGAATGGGTTGAACTTTTCATTTCAAAGCCTCTTGATAAACAATGTTTTTCGTGTTATTCTCTGGTGCAAATATGTAGAGATTCCTGGCGTATCCAACTCTTGAGCTCCCCACGTACAGCTATCCATTGTGAGATCGTACCACGAATAAAAGAAATTCCATATATAGTATAGATAGAGACAGGCCAGCGAATGGGGTCTGTGTCCACTGGATATTGTCTAGTGAATGCTTGGCGCGCAACCATGCACATTGAAATTAAGAAATTTTTCTATTGAATCAGAAAATGCATAGCTTTGGAATGGTACAATGCATTCTGAGATCGTAGCATCTGAACTCAGAGTGAGTAGTACCTCTGAACTGGTCCTGGTTATGCTGTTTTAGTATTGGTTTCGGTTTCGGTTTCGGTTTCACAATACCAGCAGCTGATGAGATCATGAGGTGAGGGCAAGAAATAGTCATAGGTTTTTCTGTGTGTGGCAGCACTGTACAGTGAGTGCTGACAATGTGTGAAGTTTCACGAAGTGAGGGGTTTTCCACGGATTTTTCGGTGAGTTTGACGGTTTGACAGGTTTTTTTCATCTAGGAACACTCCCCGGGTATAAGAGATGGCCTTGTAAAAATTGCATCCAGATCGCTTGGGCGGTTTGGCCGCCTATAGGGAAGATATATACATACATACATACATACATACATACATACATACATACATACATAGATACATGCGAACTCAACTATATATTAGATAAGTCTAAGGCGTATTGTCCCTTCAGTCTATGGTTGGACTGCATATACAGTCTATAGTATATATATACCCTATTAATGGGTACATTATGACAAGTGGATCGGTTGAACAGTGGGTCATTAATGATTATAATTATTGGTGGTGTGTGGTAGCCACAATCAAATATGTGATTCTGGTGGTAATAAGTACTTTACCGAATTGCGTACATTTCATGGTAAAATAGTTGTTTTTTTTTGTTTTTTTTAAATATTCAGAACGCAACTAAGCCTTTACATTTTTTTACAGAGCAAAATGATTTGCAAACTTTTAACATTTGCACTCGTGGTTATTAAATCTCGCCAATTCAACAAGGCATCATACCGATAATCTACACATTTCTATATAAACTGAATAGTGTTACTACATATACTCGAATTTACATTGCAATGAAACACATCATCCAACACGTGCAACAATTAGAACATAGATCTACAAAGTATTGATAATATCTTCTAGGTTATCGCATCTCCGATCCTACATGGGCTTCATCGGTTAACACGCTTAGTGTCGCCTACATTGGTCTAGCGTGTGCCCTGACAAATTCTATGAGACTCAGAGGCAGCTGCAGCGTGTTCTCGTATGCAACGCTGTGTGTGACGATAACGCGCGCGCAGTGGCACTTCAGCGAATGATACTGCGCGCTCATTCTGCCATGTATCTCGTCGCTCGACTCCACGTTGCCGCGGAAACGCGTCGGGTTAATCCGGCGCCAGAGTTCGTATGGCGTCTCTCCCCGTGCGTTCACCATGTCGACGTGTGCACCGTGGTTGAACAGCAGCGCGTGCACTATCTGCACGCACCCCTCCCTCTGTCGCGCGTAAACATCGTCTTTGCATGCGAGCATCGCCCTACAGAAGCTGTGCAGCGGGGTGTCGCCCTCGCTGTCGCGTGTGTTAACCTGTAGAAGTACGCCGGCGGACTCGAACGTCTGTAGGAGAGCTGACGCCGCTTGTACCACTGACTCCGCTTGTTCTGCTGGTGCTGCGTGTGCTCCTCGCTCACTCATTCTGGTGCTTCTCACCTCCGCCTGGTTGCCTATTATAGCGAGCGGCGTCCTCTTGTTACAATCGACGAGGTTCGGATCAGCTCCGTGTTTCAAGAGGAGAGTAATCATCTGTGTGAACGAAAGAAACTAGGATCGTTAACAACCCGATTTGAGGTTCGTTGCTTAAACAACGAGTTTCTCCAAGCATACTACCTTTATCATTGTTGCCGATTACTAACTATTACTATTATTACATTATTAACTATTAACCGATTTCTATTACTGATTACATTTATTATTTAGACAAAAATACATTGGAACATTGCTAAAATTGTCTCCGTCGTTCACAACATACGCCCACATTTTTCCTCGGTCCCGAGTAGATTGCAGGAGTAGTGTAATGCGGTGAAACTATTTAACAGATCTATTATTAACTGTTAACCGATTACTATTACTGATTACCTTTACCATCTATAAAAAAAATACATCAGGACATTGCTAAAATTCGGTCTCAATCATTCACAACGTCTGCCCGTAGTTTTACCTCGGTTTTAAGTCGATCACAGGAGTAGTGTAACGCGGTGAAACTCTTCATTTCTTCCGTCGCGGCAACGTTGGGGTCTGCGCCGGCCTCTAGTAGCAGGCGCACGATGTCCAGCCGGCAAAAGTAAGCCGCGTAGTGCAGGGAGGTCTCTCCATTCGAGTTCGCGGCGTTGGCGTCGGCGCCGTGTGAGAGCAGCATCTGCACCGTCGCCTCCTCGCACTTACTCACCGCCATCATCAGCGGCGTCTCTCCACTCTCCGTATCGGCGATGTTTGGATCAGCACCGGCCTCCAGTAGCAGGCGCACGATGTCCAGCCTGCCAGAGCAAGCCGCGTGGTACAGGGAGTTCTGTCCGTGCGAGTCCGCGGTGTTGGCGTCGGCGCCGTGCGAGAGCAGCATCTGCACCGCTTCCTTGCCCGCCATCGCCGCACACATCAGCGGCGTCATTCCGTGCTCCACATCGGCAACGCTTGGATCTGCGCCGGCCTCCAGTAGCAGTCGCATGATGTTCAGCCGGCCAGAGCTAGCCGCGTGGTGCAGGGAGGTCTGTCCTTGCGAGTCCGCGGCGTTGGCGTCGGCGCCGTGCGAGAGCAGCATCTGCACCACCGCCTCCACGCCCAGACACGCCGCAGAAGCTCTTGGATTTTAACAATAATTATTTAGAACCTTCAAGTAGGCCGTTTTTGAAAGATAAAACAGTAAAACTTTTCCTAGGTTTGTCACGTTTCCCATTGTTTTATTTCGTTGAAAATATAAATATGTCTCTGTCACAAACTCAATTTTATAGCATTGAGGATTTTCACTTAAACCACTTATTCTTTTTTACAATGAAAGCAGTATAAAACAACCGTACATTTTGTTTTAACCTCCATGAGTGGAGGGATATATCCCCCTTTCCTCCCGCTATCTACGCCCCTGCTCCCGGCCATGCATCGATATCATATATGTACAGTATATGTGTGTATAAACAATTTATATATATATACATATATATATATATACCACCACGAGCGTCAGTGGCTCGATCAGGACCGATTGGCGCAGTTGGCTATTATATATAGGGCCAGACGAGGTGTATGGGAGCTGTATGGCTGAACCTTTCATGTGATGCGCGTATAAATAGGTAGAATCACAACCCGTGGGTCTCTGGCGTTGACACCTACCCATTACATGCTAGCGTATGTGCAGTGACAACCATGAAAGCTTGGGGGGGGGGGTCATCGCTCTGCTATGGGCAGCGGCGTCACCAGGGTTGGTGTCATATACGGTGCTGTAACTCACGCTGTCAACCCCATAGACCTCCTCCCGTGCCAGACCATACGGAATCCTTAGTAATGTTTTTTTTTGTACTAATGTTTGGTAATTCCCGTATATCACTGAATGTAATGACAATGGTAGTGACATAAACCACTAGCAAAATTAAAATTACAATATCATGCGCACCACCGTAATGTATTTACATTTACATAGTTTCATGTGGTTAAAATGAAAATTCAGCAATAAAACAATAGAATTCGAAGTAAAAACTATTAAGAAGAACATCAAACTGTACTTATTTTTACATTAAAAATTTACCGTTACATGAGATACATTAATGGATTAGGTTTGTCTAATCAATAACGATGACGGCCCAAATAATGTAGAAGTTATAGAAGTTGTATGTCGAAGTTATCAGTAGAGAGAGTGATATGTGACGGAAGGACCTTGGCTTCAATCAATAGAGAGTGATATAGTATGATAGAACTTTGGCTTCAATCAGTAGAGAGTGGTATGTGACGGTAGGACCGTGACTTCAATCAAGTTGTTTGTATTTTAAGTGGTGTGAGTGTGCGTGTGCGTGTGAGTGTGCGTGTGAGTATGAGTATGAGTGTGCGTGTGAGTGTGAGTGTGCGTGTGAGTGTGAGTGTGAGTGTGAGTGTGCGTGTGAGTGTGCGTGTGAGTATGTGTGAGTGTGAGTGTGAGTGTGAGTGTGAGTGTGCGTGTGAGTGTGAGTGTGAGTGTGAGTGTGAGTGTGAGTGTGAGTGTGAGTGTGAGTGTGAGTGTGAGTATGAGTATGAGTGTGCGTGTGAGTATGAGTGTGCGTGTGAGTATGAGTGTGCGTGTGAGTATGAGTGTGAGTGTGAGTGTGAGTGTGAGTGTGAGTGTGAGTGTGAGTGTGAGTGTGAGTGTGAGTGTGAGTGTGCGTGTAAGCGTGAGTGTGCGTGTGCATGCAGGGAGGTCTGTCCTTGCGAGTCCGCGGCGTTGGCGTCGGCGCCGTGCGAGAGCAGCATCTGCACCACCGCCTCCACGCCCAGACACGCCGCCATCATCAGCGGCGTCCTCCCGCTCTCCGTATCGGCGACGTTTGGATCAGCACCGGCCTCCAGTAGCAGTCGCACGATGTCCAGCCTGCCAGAGCAAGCCGCGTAGTACAGGGAGGTCTGTCCGTGCGAGTCCGCGGCGTTGGCGTCGGCGCCGTGTGAGAGCAGCATCTGCACCACCGCCTCCACGCCCATCCTCGCCGCACACATCAGCGGCGTCTCTCCACTCTTCGTGTGGGCGACATTGGGGACGGCGCCGGCCTCCAGTAGCAGTCGCATGATGTTCAGCCGGCCAGAGCTAGCCCTGTCGTACCCGGAGGTAGCCGCATAGTACAGAGAGGTCTGTCCTTGTAAGCTCGCGGCGTTGGCGTCAGCGCCGTGTGAGAGCAGCATCTGCACCACCGCCCTCATCAGCGGCGTCCTCCCGCTCTTCGTATCGGCGGCGTTTGGATCTGCACCGGCCTCCAGTAGCAGTCGCATGATGTTCAGCCGGCCAGAGCTAGCCTCGAAGTACACGGAGGTAGCCGCGTAGTACAGGGAGGTCTGTCCTTGCGAGTCCGCGGCGTTGGGGTCGGCGCCGTGTGAGAGCAGCATCTGCACCGCTGCCTCGTTGCCCTTCCTCACCGCCATCATCAGCGGCGTCATCCCGCTCTCCGTATCGGCAACGCTTGGATCTGCACCGGCCTCCAGTAGCAGGCGCACAATGTCCAGCCGGCCAGAGCAAACCGCGATGTGCAGGGAGGTCCATCCATACGAGTCCGTGGCGTTGGCGTCGGCGCCGTGTGAGAGCAGCATCTGCACCATCGCCTCCTCGCCCACCCACGCCGCATACATCAGCGGCGTCTCTCCACTCTTCGTGTGGGCGACATTGGGGACGGCGCCGGCCTCCAGTAGCAGTCGCATGATGTTCAGCCGGCCAGAGTAAGCCGCGTAGTGCAGGGAAGTCTGTCCGTACGAGTCCGCGGCGTTGGCGTCAGCGCCGTGCGAGAGCAGCATCTGCACCACTGCCTCATCGCCCTTACTCACCGCGTTCATCAGCGGCGTCTCCCCGATCTCCGTATCGGCGACGTTTGGATCTGCACCGGCCTCCAGTAGCAGGCGCACAATGTCCAGCCGGCCAGAGCAGCGAGTCGCGTAGTACAGGGAGGTCTCTCCGTGCAAGTCCGCGGTGTTGGCGTCGGCGCCGTGTGAGAGCAGCATCCGCATCATCGCCTCATCGCCCTCCCTCGCCGCCATCATCAGCGGCGTCTTCCCGCTCTCCGTATCGGCGGCGTTTGGATCTGAACCGGCCTCTAGTAGCAGTCGCATGATGTCCAGCCGGCCAGAGCTAGCCACATAGAACAGGGAGGTAGCCGCGTAGTACAGGAAGGTCCGTCCGTGCGAGTCCGCGGCGTTGGCGTCGGCGCCGTGTGAGAGCAGCATCTGCACCGTCGCCTCCTCGCACTTACTCACCGCCATCATCAGCGGCGTCATCCCGCTCTCCGTATCGGCGACGTTTGGATCAGCACCGGCCTCCAGTAGCAGGCGCATGATGTTCAGCCGGCCAGAGCGAGGCGCATAGTACAGGGAGGTAGCCGCGTGGTTTAGGGTGGTCTGTCCTTGCGAGTCCGCGGCGTTGGCGTCGGCGCCGTGTGAGAGCAGCATCTGCACCACCGCCTCATCACCCTTCGTCACCGCCTTCATCAGCGGCGTCTTCCCGGTCATGCCGCGTAAAGTCTGTTATTAGAGAGGCTTGTGGATTATTAGTCAGATAGTAATACGGGAATGACAATGACAGAAAGTGCTCCCAATTATTGACATAAAAACTCAATATTTACCACACAGAATTGCACGCCATTTTGTTTTAATTATGCACTTGGTTTGAAGGCGCCAGTTGTGATTTTGAGAGTTGGCATACGATAAAATTTATTGTTGGTATGATGTGGTCAAATCCATTTTTCTATGTTATAACTGCATAAGGGGGAGGGGGAATATAGCAAAAGCAGTTCAGTCCTTTGTTAACAGTCAACAAATCCGTGTTTACCCGTCCTCTTGAGGGTCAAAATGTTATCAGACACTTACTCTTCGCACTTCAGCAGGAAGCACATTTCATAAAAATAACCTATAAAATAATTGCCTTTCAATAAAGTGATAAGAGAGAATGAAAGTGTCAATGACACTGTAGCTCACCACAAAAAAAAACAAATGAGTGAGTAAGAAGAAGTCAGTTTTAATTGAGCAACCATCGACGTACATTATAGAAACGATTGCCACCTGTATATCGCAATAATAATTTATAAACCAAAATGAATCACAATTTGTGACCGTAGATGGCGCTATACCCGCTTTGTAGCAATGGCGTTTGAAATAAATAGGTTATCCTGCGTTCCGACATGTTTTGTAAATCTTTACTCTAATATAGACGTTTTATCGGCAGGGTGGAGAGGAAATACCAATTTTGCATTAAATATATTGTCAATGAAATCTTGTAAAACGAAACAGACAAGTGTGACACCACACTGTTTGTGTCTATATAATATGCTATATAATTGCCAAACCCTACCTAATTTGCATAATTTTTTTTTCAAATATCAAAACCCCTAGCCCTTATTCATTCCCATACCAAAAATGAGCAAAATCCGTTGAACCTGAACTGACTAATGGCAATTCCCATTTTGGCCAAAAAATTGCCGTGGCTCGAAGTACGTCGACTGGCGTGCTTCAAAATAGGACGTTTAATATGGGAGCATAGCAGTAACAAACCGCGGAACTGCGCGCAAGATCTGCGCTCAGCGCTTCGGATCAACAGCTTTTGGCAACGCTTCTCTAGTATCCCGTCTCATCTGGTTGTATGACATCATTCCCCCCCCCTAAAATCTCGACAATAGGAGAGGATGTTCATTACTGGACATGCTCTCTATCCTTGAACCCGGACCAGATTTTACGATTCTGCTCTGGTTCACGTAAAGTTTCGCGGTTTACCTTCCCGCCATGCGAAGTGAGAAGCGATAAGGTAACTTGTGGCTGGCTAACTTTGCACAAGTGAGACTACTGGAACCTCTGTTATATTAAATATGTTGAAGCATGATGTAGTTATTATTTATTGTCGCTGTTCGTATTTGCCACTCAACGCTTTCGTATCGCTGGAGCACTTAGTATTGGGTTCACTTTCGCATCTATATCGCACACACGTTTCACGGTTCAAGAAGCGAAAGCAGTTTATAGGTTATATTCGCTATTCTTCTTTCGGAGAATTAGAAAGTGGATTTTCCATCGTCGGAATCGATGTAATCGACAGTTTTGCAGAATCTCCTTATAGCTACGATGATGTCCTTAATTACTGGTTGTTATGCTGGACTATGTTATAACGGAGAAACTATTGGAAGATGTCGGTGATTGGTGGTATTGTCCGCAGGCATTGTGTAGGTAGTAGTGGCGCAGAAGACAAACGAATACACAGTAAAATCGACTGCGAGCGATTATCATAGCGGAAAGTCTGACATACGCTATATATATGTACACGCACGCGCACGCGCACGCGCACGCGCACACGCCCGCACGCATGCACGCACGCACACGTATGCGCACGCGCACACGCACGCACGCACACGCGCACGCGCATGTGTGTGTGTGTGTGTGTGTGTGTGTGTGTGTGTACATACTCATGTATGCACGCACGCACGCACATACTCAGGTACGCACGCGCGCACATATCATTTGTAAATAAGTTTGTATGGTGAGCGCACAAACTACTATCGCCACCCAGCGAGCGTGCGGTATATTTGTAGATACACGAACTGGCATTTAGGTGTTATATTGCATTTTCAGTCTATTATTGCTCTCTGTTTGGCATGCCATGGCATTCTGTATTATATTGCGACTACGTACAATTTTCTGCTGACGGTACGTCTAAAACAACCTATTAATGAGTGTTAGCGAAGGCAAACAACGTGGCCAAATGTATGTCGATGTATACCCATGATACGATCCTTATGTAAGTTTGTTAACTGTCGGAGTGTTTTGGCCAGGAATGATCTAGCAGCGCCATCGTACGCAGAAATATGTTCACTACTGGCAATGAGAAGGTAAGGAATATTTGTCATCGAAGTGAAATAAATGAGTCACTGTGTTGCGGGTTCTGAACTTCTGGTTATTTATAACGTCTACGCACGCACACGGGGGCGCGCACACGCACGCACACACACCCACACACACGCACACGCACACGTACACACACACACGTACACGTACACACACTCATTGCTAGACCGAATACCACGTTGTGTATCAGTCGCCATGACAACCGACGGAAGGAGCCTAAGAAGAATACTGATGCTGATGATGGTGGATGCGGTGTCCAGCCTTCTCCTCGACCACACTGACAACGAAGAAGACATCCTGTGATGTGCTACTGCAGAGCAAACTGCTAACAAGGTAGGACGCGCGTATTAGCCAATACATTATCATGTATCGATTAGCTCATAACTATTATATAATAAGTGTGAGTGTGAGTGTGCGTGTGAGTGTGAGTGTGCGTGTGAGTGTGCGTGTGCGTGTGAGTGTGAGTGTGCGTGTGAGTGTGCGTGTGAGTGTGAGTGTGAGTGTGCGTGTGAGTGTGCGTGTGAGTGTGAGTGTGAGTATGCGTACCTGCGCGCATGTGCGTGCATGTGAATGTTTGGTATGCATGCATGTGCGCGCGCGTGTGTGCGTATGTATAGACGGGCGTGCGTGCGTATGCTTGTGTGATGCGCGTGTGCGTGTGAGTGCTTGCGTGTGTGCGTAGGTATGGACGTGCGTGCGCGAACGAGCGTGTGTGTTTGTGTGTGCGTGTGCGGGTGTTCGCGCGTGTGTATGTGGACGCACACATAATCGTCCGTAAGACAATAACAGATATTAACAGATATAACAGCAGGTTATATTTATCTTCACTAGCCAGCTCTATCCGCGAAGCCCTTTTCTACTCAACAGCATGCAGTGGATCTAAACTCTTGCAGGACGAACCACAGTTGCTGAGCGAATAGAAAGGCTATAGGCATAACGCGGAATCCAAAACGTAATGCTACGAGAAAAGTGAATATTATAGATCGGATTTTATTATGCACACGTGCTGGCAGCTCGCCCGGCTCCACTTCGATCTTATGAAAACGGCTGAAGAAAATTATCTTAGCAGTCAACGGCGACCGACGTCCGGGGCCCAATTCCCTATGATGATTGTATTTCATACAGCAGCGACGGTGATGGCATATTTCCCCGCTAAGCGATGTGTGTTCCCCCTATTTATGAAAACCTTGCCAATCAAACTTATTGGCTGGGTAGCACATTAAAACCATAGAACCCCCTATTCTATCCTATATAAAAGTTCTACATCTATTTATATAGGATGGGTAGCAGAGCGAGCATGTATGAATAAACATAGGGCGATACACGCACATGGCAAGCACGCGACACTAGCGCCGACCAACGGCAAGGGAATAAACGTTTTGCGTGAATGTTCGCGTGAATGTATTTAAAAAAACAAAATGAATGTGAGGGCGTGTAAAAATATAAGGCTTATAAATAGATAGAATTATAACAAGATAGCATATTGCAATCCTAATGGTTGTTTCTAATTTTCCAGAAAATTTTCTGGTCAATGTTTTCGTGCCAAAGACCAAATCATATCTGATGAGATCTGCTTGAGACTGCCTTGCCCAACCAGAGGAAGACGGCCACTGAACTACATTGACTGCATTGCAAGGGATAACCAGCATGACATAGCGAACATGCAAACACTGATGATGGACAAATATTCATGGCATGGCAAATGTTGTGAACTCTATCTCGGATGTGTCCGTTGAGTATAGTAGTGGTATATAGTAGTAACTTTCCCGCATTTTTATTAGATTGCTGTTATATGCACTGTTTAGACCAGCCCCGGCAAATCAGGTATAATTCAGCTAGCAAGTAAAAAGCACAAATAAACACGCTAATGTTGGATTCCTCCATCAGAGATGAGTAAAACAAAAGACTCACGATTTTCTCTATCGCAAGTTCCGCATTAATCTATGCTGATATCGCTGCTCTTTTGTTTTACAATAGTTACACGAGTTAGAAACCTAGTAAGCGGATGTCACCGCAGAGCAGAAAAAAATTAAATAACCATGACAATTATTCAGAGCAGCGTCTCTCGAATGCTGTACGGTGTTGCTCTAGTATCTAAAGTTACCTGCCTAGAGAGGTCGCTGCAATCGCAGGTTCGATGCTAAGTGGACGATACAGCAGAAAGCAAGGTGGCTGATTAACCATGGCCAGCAATAACCAATTATTATAAATTCATATACAATTATTACAATACAATTATTATGGTACGATGTTAGCTAATAAATCTAGACATAGAACTTGTCTAGAGAGATATACCGGACGCTACAACTACAGGTAGGTCTATAACATGCAGAAAATGCATGATTGCAGTGGTACAGTTTCTAACAATTTTTCTGCATACCTACTTACATGTTAGATTTACGGGTTTGATCGATATATTTGTTCGGTACAATATTTAAAATTCTGTAGTAGCAAATTTTCTTCACTTCGTCGATGCCAGTCGACAACTCCTGCTCGGGTTCGTTCGACAATCTTCGTTCGATTTCGGTCATTATGACTTCCTTCTTGTTCTCCATCGCGCAGACCACGAAGGGGAAGTCAAACTTGTGTTTGTACGCATCGTTGGCGGTGCGCAGGCGTTGTCGCTCTTTGGATGTGAGAGTCAGCAGTCCCGCACTTTGCTGTTCGTGAATAGCTTCCTTATTCAAATCTCTTGCCTCGGCCAGCGATCCCACAAGATCAGAAACGCATCGCAGCACTCTCCTCTTATCTGAGAAATAAATTATGGGGCTTTATATATACATATACACACACACACACACACACACACACACACACACACACACACACACACACACACACACACATATAAATAAATAAATATATATATTATATATATATATATGCATGCATACATGAATATATATCAGGAGTAAATAATTCTCATATATATATATATCATATATATATATATATATTAATACATACTTGCGCGCGTTGGGCTGGCTGTTTAAATATTTCACCAACTATGCCTACATAAATTAATGCATACTTACGTACATTAGGCTGACTGTCTAAAAATCTCACAATAACTATACCTGTATAAATTAGTACTTACCTACATTGGGCTGACTGTCTACGTATCTCATAAGTAAGTATTATCTCACTGTTACAAGACTCACGAAGTCCTATGTCTATATAGATTGGTACATACTTACGTGGATCGGGCTGACCGTCTAAGAACTGGCAGAAGGCAGCGTGTAGGTGTGCTGCGCTTCTGTAAGGCCTGTTCTCGTATATAGCAGCTGTTATGTACGCACCGCGTTCTACACACTCTACACAGTTCCCGAACACGCGAATAAACTCTTTGTAGTCCATCGCATTCACATCGGAGATTGATCGCTGTCCGTCCGCCATGTTTAGCGTATAATTGCACACTTGCCAATGTTTAAATTCTTGCTAAACAATGTTTAGCGCGGTCCGAAGCACACGTTGGACTAGCCGGACCAGGGTTCAAGGATAGAGATAATGTCCAGGACGGTGATAGTGTAGTGGCCCTAGGGATGGCCACACTGGACTTTCACACGTGCTGTGGTTAGCACGTGTAGTTTATTTGTGTCGGGATCATTTTCCGCTCCTACCGTGAAGGCAGGACGGTGATGCAGTAGCAAGAAAACCCCAGAGTGAAATGAACGCAAGTCTTTATATCGTCTTTATACAACGGATGGTTTTATTTATCTTATACGAATAACATGAATAACGTTGCCCGCACGTATCTCAAATATAGCGTATATATATATATATATATATTACTCGTATCGCGTTTACGTTACCTCGTTAGGTTATTACGTTTAACTTAACTCTTAGCTATTCTACGGGTTAATATTGTAGCCCCCGGCGCCGCTCCTCGTCTGTCTCTCCCCGTCGTGTGCTCCGCGGCTCGGCGCGAGTTCGTGGTTAGGCCGTGTGTCTCCCTGTCCGGGGTAGGCTATAGCTCCGCCCTCCTCCCTTAGTATAAGATATACCTTCTCGGGCGTCGTCCTGCTCGTGGGTGGCTTTCCTTCCGACGGTGTGTGTACGCTCCCTCGAGCGTCCGTTCGTTCGTTCGTTCGTTCGTCCGTTCGTTCGTTCGTTCGCTCGTTTGCTCGTTCGTTTGTTCCTTCGTTCGTTCGTTCGCTCGCTCGTTCGTTCGTTCGTTCGTTCGTTCGTTCGCTCGTTCGTTCGTTCGTTCGTTCGTTCGCTCGTTCGTTCGTTCGTTCGTTCGTTCGTTCGTGGCCGTCCGAAGACCGACTGATTTTACCGTTAGATTTTGGCTGCTTATATAGGACCCTGCGGTGACGTAGGATCCTGGCAGTGCCTCTCTCTTACGTGCCTCAGGTACCTGATCGTTGTCACCACCTCGCTTAACACGTGCACGGGTGATGCAACTCCCTTGGTCCAATATATGTCCGAGCGTCGCACCCCCCCTGTCCGCCACGTGCTCGGCCGGTGCAACTCCCTCGCCTCGCGCGTGTACATGGTGGCGCAACTCCCTTACCTCCCACATCGGGTAGCTATGGTACTCCCTCCCCCGCGCTTGTCTGTGTCGTTGGGGAAAACTTTGTACCTGTTGCTAGGGGAACTTTCTATCTCTGTTGCTATTGAACTAGTCTCTGGACAGTCTGCAGCCCGGATCCGCGCGAAGCGCGCTTCGCGCCACCTGGTGGCGCCTTTTGAACGAATTCGCTGCTCTGTCAATATCACTTTAACGGTTCTGTCACATCGGCCTCTGATCGGTCAATTGAGCAGTTCTGGCGCTTCCAGAAGCCTTTCGACTATGCACATGGCGCCGTTCAAATTTCGTAGCGTTGATGTGTAAATAATTAATTAAGTATCTGGTGACAAATACATGTGGGTATAGACGATTTTTTATACAGCAAGTACAGTTGTATGCAGTAAAATCCTAGAGGCTATACTGTCCCTTTAAGTTAAGGGGGAAATATTCCCCCTCTGTTGACACATCTTGACCTTTGACCCTTGACCACCACATTGGTCATCCCGAGTCCTTTTTATGATCCCCCCTTCTTGACTACGCCAGGTGAGCTAAAAACCGAAAAAAAAGCAATCCGTAACAAAAAGCGACACCCCTGTTACCCACGTCCATGGCTGTGCACATCGTGGCTCGTGCTTGCTGGCTGGGGCAGCATTGATTGAAGTAAGGGGGGGGGCAAATGCACTGATTGTTAGTCACGTGGGCATGCTTATTGCTGTATATGTAGGAGTGGGCACCGCTGGTATGAGGGAGCAACAGCAAAACCTTCCCGGAATCGCAGAAAAAGCTGCAATCGGGAATGCCACAAGAGTGTGCCGGCACGCAAAAAGAAACGTTGCTGTGAAATTCATTACGATTTTCCATGTATATAGTCAGAAGCACGTGGTGATCTATTTATTTTTAGATTGACAATATTTTGACAACGGCGGGTATATACAGGAACATTTTCACAACGGCGTTGTTAAATTTGACAACGGCGGTGCGCCGCAGTGCCTCCTATGCAGAAGAAACCCTGCATTAATGGTCCGGTGTCCGTTGTATATGGCGGTGGCTGGTTCTGTCAGTAAATAGTGCTGGCAATTCCTGACAGCAGCTAGGGTCTTGTTTACTGTTGTCGTAAAATAATATTTCTTCACTGCACATGTAAATACTCTCGTACTACTACGTCTCGTTACATGTAATAAGGTCAGGAGTGTATTTGATACACTCCTGATAAGGTATAACGATCGCAAATAGATTCGTAATCGGTGAGAATTACTGCTTTTCTTATAACACATCTTTGCTCCACTATGCTGTTTTCTTTATTATATTATATTATATATATATATATATATATATATGTTATTATGACCATTAATGACATTAAAGTTGGGAACACTCCTAATGGAGTATCACCCGGGTGTTGAATGAATGAATGAATCAACAGGAATACAATGTTACTACTGATAATTTGTACCACACTGATTATATTGTACGCTGTGGCTATATGCCCGGCAGCCGGCACCCTAACCCTAAACCTAACCTCCTGTTTACTTGAGAAATCACCGAAAATTAAAAACTGCCGGGCATTTAGACGTTTTAGTCTGTATCTCCGGATTGCTTGTGTATACGAGGAAACGATTTCGCACGATGCTAGGCGAATGTACTGTGTACGATTTGAGCTCAAGTTGGATGAGTTACGCGTAGTAAATCGTAGATATTTTAAGGCTAGTAAATGACGAATTTCCCTTGTTTATTGATGTCACACTCCTTCCCTATAATCTACTCCTGATCTGGATATATCTGGATATATCTGGAATATACTGGCTGGATTAAATCAGGAATCCTGTTTATCAATGATCTAATAGAGGAAAATGGTCAATTTTATGAGTATGATCAACTGAAAATGAAATATAATATGGAAACAAGCTACTTAAATTACTTGGGAGTAATAAAAAGTATTAAAACATTTGCTAGAAAAAAAGGAATTATTTTAACAAATTTAAATAAACTGGTTCAACCTATAATACCCACTCAGTTAGCATGGGTCTTAAAGAACAAAAAGGGATGCAAATCTTTTTATAACATATTGATAGCCTCAAAACTAGGTGCAGAAAAATACAGATGGATGACAAAATGGGAGCGAGATTTAAGTGAAAACTTTTCAGCCAGTGAATGGAAAATAATACAAATGGTTCCCTTTAAAAGTACTATAGACTCCAAATATAGATGGTTCCAATACCGTTTAAATCATAGAATTTTAGCTACAAACACCTTTCTACACCAAATAAAAATAACTGATTCTGACAAATGTACTTTCTGTCAACAAGAAAAAGAATCTTTATTACATCTCTTTCATGACTGTACAATAGTAACCAATATTTGGCAACAAATCCAATCATGGATCATTGATAATACAGGTATTAGAATAAACCTAACAAAAAAGAAATGTATATTCGGCAGCTTGGAGAAAAACCAAGAAATAATAAATTTTTTAATTATAGTTATAAAATTTCATATCTATAGATGCAGGTGTCGAAACACTATACCATTTTTGCTAGATATGAAAAGAGAAATAGAATTTATATATAATGTTGAAAAAAATATTGCATTCCAAAATCTCACACTTGAAAAATTTAATAATAGATTGTACTGTAATATCAACATCAAAGGTCAAGCTTTGTGACCCAAAAGTATAAAACCAGGTGCCCTCCCCCATCTTGTTTCTACTCTTCTCTTTCTTTCTTTCTGTATTCTAAATACGTTCAGTCAATAGCAATCTCCTTAAATTTTTAGGCTGATCTCTCTCTCTCTCTCTCTCTTTCTCTCTCTCTCTCTTTCTCTCTCTCTCTCTTTCTCTCTCT